AAACGATTTTACAAAATATTTCGAACCATTTCAAAGCCAAAAATTCCAGATTACTCAGAGGGAACCGATTCCCCCCCAAGAGGGTACCGATTCCCCCCTGAATGGTTTGGTTCCAAGAATTTCAATATGCTCGGAGGGAACCGATTCCCCCCAGGGGTATCGATTTCCCCCACTGTTCAACGGTCGAAATATTTGAATTTTACACTTAGGGAACCGATTCCCCATGAGAGGTACCGATTCCCCCCACGCTCCAAGCAGAAATATTAATTGTTTTCACACTTAAACGGCTACAATAATTTCATTAATGATCCCCAACATTCAGAAGTGATTCAAGGTGTATTTAAGCAAGCTTAGAAGCCATTGATCAAAAAGAAGAAACATCAAGCAACTAGAATCAAGAGAGAATCAAAGAGAAAGCATCAAACCTCAAGTTTGAGCATTTCAAGCCTATCTTTCATTCAATATTCATTTTGCTTTCAAGAACACTTATTGTGCTCAATTGTATTTTATTCTTGAGTGTTCTTTTCTTTGTTCTAGAATTGTGCAAACAATCTACCTTGTGAGGATTTCCTTGTAAGTTTGCAAATTTGTATTGTTCTCTTTGGGAGAGAGTGTTCTCAAGAATTTGGGGTATAATTCTTGAGGGTTTGTAACGTCACTCTTTGTCCTCAAAAAAAAGACAAAATAGTGAATTTGTGGAAAATCCTTAGTGTGGATAGCTAAGGTAGTGGACGTAGACTTTGGTTGAGAAAGTCGAACCACTATAAATCGCTGTGTTCTTTTAATTTTCTGCAAAAGCTTCCACCAAAATTTTAATTGTCAATTCACCCCTCTTGGCCATATTCGTCAATCGATTAACTCAACAATTTGTTCTACGCTGAAAACCTCAGATTGGGAGCCAATATAAATCACTTGGCAGCTGCAGCAGTCACCAGGCTGCAAGGGGAGCTTGCAAAAGATGGTCGGGAACCTTCGTTTTCATCGAAAAAGATGCCTGAAAAGTCTCTTTCCGGTAATGCTGCTTCTGTTTTGAGGTTCCCTGATAAGTTAAAAGGTAGACATTTGATGAGTTCTTTCAATTTCTCCATGGTTCTTTCTTAGAATAACATAGGGTAATGCTTTGTTGCTTAATATGTGATTGTTAGGGAAAAGTGCTTTGGCTCAATTCTGCATGGATCTTACGGCTCGTGCAAGTGAGGGACATGTTGATCCCGATTTTTCTTGGGGAAAGTGGGTTGGTAAAACAACCATTGCCGAAGGACTTGCGATTAGCATTGCTCAGGCAGAAATCCCAGCATTTCTCTTTGTCTGCCTCTTCACTAGTCATTGTTGTTCCAGATAGCTAGTTCTGATTTGCTTGATCCGAATGCTTGTTTTTGTACATCTAATGAGGTTGTATCTCCAAACTTTATTGATTTTTTCTTAATTTGCACAGAATAAAAAGATAATGTCGTTGGACATGGGACAATTCATCGCTGGCACAAAGGAGAGGGGAGAGTTAGAGGCCCGTGTTACCGCTCTGATTAGTGAGACAATAAAATCAGGTGCCTGCAATGAGGAGTTGCTCTTTTGGGAGTTGAAATCTATTTCATTGTTTTTCATACTTGGCATACCTGTTCTTTAGGTGATATCATTCTTTTCATCGATGAAGTCCACACACTTATTGGATCCGGTACAGTTGGCCGAGGAAACAAGGGATCCAGTCTCGACATCGCGAATCTATTGGAGCCGGCACTTGGTAGGGGTGAATTACAGGTAACTGTTTCTCATATGGTAATTTTTACAGAGTGCCTGAAATGCCAAAAACATTGGCATGTTGTTTACTGCAGTAACTGAATATGAGACAACATCAGTAATACATCTGGATTACCTCTTCGAATGAAAAGCTCGTAATGTGCATTTTTTATCGGGCACTAATTCTACATCTTTTGCAGTGTATCGCATCAACGACTATAGGGGAATATCGGACCCAATTTGAAAAGGATAAAGCGTTAGCTCGAAGGTTTCAACCAGTATGGATCAATGAGCCATGTCAGGTTGTTTTCAATGCAAACTATACTATATGTAAGTAATTGTCTATTTCCTTCTTTCTTATTTGGTTGTGATGTGATGATATCTTATAGGAGGATGCAGTCAGGATACTGCTTGGTCTGCGTGAAAAGTACGAGTCTCATCACCGCTGCATATACACTCTAGAAGCCATAAATGCTGTTGTATACCTCTCAGCAAGATACATTCCTGATAGGTATCTCCCAGATAAAGCGATTGGCCTCATTGATGAGGCTGGAAGTCGAGCACGTATTGAGGCATTTAGGAGGAAAAGAGAGCAAGAAACTGGAATTCTCTCAAAGGCACCTGATGATTATTGGGAAGAAATCAGAGCTGTTCAGGCCATGCATAAAATGGTAATATCTTTTATCGTATGTGTACGTTAGCTTTTGAGTTTCTACGATCCTGTAATCTCCGTTTGGCACTTCTGTCATGAATAGGTCATGGCCAGCAGGTTGAAAAATGATGCCGGTGCTTGTGGTGTGGATGATTCTGGTGAACTCCTTCTAGAATTCGCTATGCCTTCTACTTCAGAGAACGAATATGCCCTCTCTCTCTCTCTCTGTGTGCTCCTCTTCTTTTTAGCTTTCAGGGGTCATGTTGAGGGTTACGCATATTAGCTTCTCGTCCTCTAGGCTTCGCCTGGATTCTAACGAAATTTCGCGGGGTGATTCTTTCAGACCTATAATGGTGGGACCTGAAGAAATTGCAACAGTTGCTTCAGTTTGGTCAGGGATACCAGTGCAGCAGATAACTGCAGATGAAAGAATGCTTCTGGTTGGCCTTGATGAGATGCTTAAGAAAAGGGTTATAGGTCAGGATGAGGTTGTTGCTGCCATTTCTCGAGCTGTTAAGAGATCCCGTGTCGGTCTAAAGAATCCCGATAGACCAATTTCTGCAATGATCTTTTGTGGTCCAACTGGGGTTGGCAAAACTGAATTAACAAAAGCTTTAACAGCATGCTATTTTGGATCGGTAAGGCTTCATGCTATATGCTAGATATATCCAAAGTATGCTTTGTTTAAGGAGATAACGTTTTATTCCGGTTCGAACGGAAACCCATTATTTAAAATCGAATACTTGAGCAATCACATATGTAAGGTTTTTTTTTTGGTAATATGTCTTGCCCTCTTTTCTGTCCTTGAATGCCAATTATTGCAGGAGGACTCCATGCTTAGACTGGACATGAGCGAATACATGGAGCGACATACGGTGAGTAAATTAATAGGATCGCCACCAGGTTATGTCGGTTACGAAGTGGGCGGTATGCTAACAGAAGCTATTAGAAGACGGCCATTCACGTTGTTACTGCTTGATGAAATTGAGAAAGCTCATCCAGATATATTCAACATCCTTCTCCAACTGTTTGAAGACGGTCACCTCACGGATTCACAGGTTTTTTGTTGTAAATAATCATCATCTAGACATGAGCTTAACGATTAACAACTTCGATCGATATTAATCGATTATTCTGTCAATCAGGCTCGAAGAGTTTCTTTCAAGAATGCATTGGTGGTGATGACTTCAAATGTGGGTTCTTCTGCGATTGCAAAAGGTAGACGTGGCTCCATCAGTTTCATACTTGAGAACGATGAGGCAACTTCGTATGCCGGAATGAAGGCTCTAATAATGGAAGAATTGAAGGCATATTTCCGTCCCGAGTTACTTAACAGGATCGATGAAGTAGTTGTCTTTCGGTCCCTCCAGAAACCTCAGGTTTGTACCTTTACGTTGATTCCTTAAAGAGTAGCCATTTTCTCGGATCACGTTATACTGATACACTGTCGGTCGGTCGTATCGGTTTGGTGTATTTTCAGATGCTTGAGATTGTAAACCTGATGCTGCAAGAGGTCAATGCTAGACTTATGTCTCTAGGAATTGGTTTGGAGGTGATTGAATCAATCAAGGACCTCATTTGTCAAGGCTATGACCAAACCTATGGTGCACGGCCCCTCAGGAGGGCGGTTACCTTGGTAGTTGAAGATCCCCTGAGTGAAGCCTCCTGGCCGGAGATTACAAGCCGGGTGAAACGGCTGTTATTGATCTGGATGCTTCGGGAAACCCCATTGTTACGAGTCGATAGGACCGGAACATCAGCTTGTCTGATACAGCATCCATCTTCTAGTTGCTTATTACTGGCACCATGCAATTTCATGAACAGAATCCGGGGATTCAGCATCTGTAATCCTATACATGTAAATAATGTAGCAAGATTTTTGGGTGGTTAATTGTATCTAATCTTTTACAAGTAAAGCTTCAAGTTGTCAAACTATGCATATGGACTATGTACATATATTTCATTTCATTGCCTCTCCTGAATTTCTTTAAACTTTAAATATGTATAGCTGATTATTGAATTTGTGACTTGAATTCTATATAATTCGGTTTAAAATTTTTATGATACAACTCAAATATGTATATTCTTAGACATTTTTAAAATCTAAAATTATAATCACTTAAACCTACTGACGAAATATTTGTAACGTATTAAATATAGACGACTCATATTTCAATTATACCGTATTATAATTTCTTTTAGATTTTTTATAAATTTTAATAAATATTTTTATATATTTTTTATTTTTTAAATTACTTAATATTATAAAATAATTTTGTAACATTTTTAAATAATTTTTAATAGTATAGAACATATCACATGATAAATAATCTAAACTATTAAAATTTGATAATAAGTAATTTTATTTCAAGTGACTTTAATGATAAATGAAAATAAACATCTTGAATTTTAGTAATTATGTTTGTAGAATATAATTTGTTTTAGATTGATTAAAAAAAATTTAAATGAATATTATTTTTAAGGTGTGAACTATTAAAAAAATAATGATTTTTTATTTTTTATGATTGAAATTGTTTCCCAAGGTTTAAGGATCTTCTGTACCCTAACGCCAATATAAAATATTGCGAAGGAAATTGAAGAACGCCGACTTGTTTTCAGAGGTTAATTGAATCATCCACCAAAATCATTGTGTTTGACTTCACTTGTTATGGCCACAGCCATGGCCAAGCCTTCCCACGCCACAATTATCGCCGCCCTCGAGCAAGAACCACTAGCGGCGTCGCCCTCTCTTCCTCCCCCGACACCCATTCCGCCACCGTTAGTCACCGTAAAAACAGAACTGTATCAGCCCGAACAACAGAAACCACAAGAAGAAGAACCCACGTTCTTCAAATCCATCAACGACCTTGCCTCACACGCCTCCGCCATCCTCGCTTTCAAAAGTAAATTCGACGAACTAACGAAACACCTCGATTTCATCAACAAGGCCATCGACTCTAAGTTCAACGAGCCGCAACAAGAGGAGCAACACCCAAAAATTGAACCCCAACCTTGTCTCAAATCAACGCAAACGAAATATGAAACGGTACGAAAAGGACCCAAAGCAGCTCCTCCTCCGAAATCCTCGTGTGACGGAATCCAAAGCCATTGCATGAGTATGCGCAGCAAAATGGTCCGTAAATACATTGTTAAACGTTTATCGTTACTCCCGATGCTTCGAGAAGAAGTCCCCGTTGCTCTAAAGCTTGCCCCAGAACCAGCCAAATTGGTTTTAGACAGCATTGGAAAGAGTTTTTTAATGGGAAAAAATGCTTATACCAAGGAAGTGTCCGCGAGATGGTCAAGGGAAGCTAACCTTTTGCTGTTGGAGTTTTTCCTTCTGATGATTGGCGGTGAAGGTGAGATTAAAATTTCGGCCAACGTTAAGGTAGAAGCGGAGAATAGAGCTGTTGCATGGCGAAAGAGGTTGAATGACGAGGGTGGTTTGTGCAAAGCCAGTGCAGCTGATGCAAGGGGTTTGCTGCTTTACGTTTCTTGTTTTGGGATTCCCAAAGTGTTCTCCAATGAGGATTTGAGGTTTTTGCTTAAGTTGAGTGATCTCAAAGGCATCTCGGATGCTGTAAAGGCCTCTCCTTGGCTTCCTGGGAAAATGCCAGGTATTTACATCTCGGTTCCATTAATTTATATGAATTTCCTTGTATATTTATGATTTTCTTGGATCCTATTATGATTATGGAGTGTAATTGTGTAAACAGTGTTTATATTATACTTGTTTCCTGATAATTGAACTCGGGTCGCTCCATAGCTCTAGCTTGGCTTGAGAACGATGTAATCAGATTCAAGTTTTTTTATGAGTCGAACTCGAATAGCTTACTAGCACAAGTGTCTCATTTACACCACTAGTTTAGATGCCTGCAAATTGATTTCCGAGACTAAAGGGTATCGGAACTTGAAGTTCCCATGGTTTTTATTCTTCGTCGAAATTGTGTATCCTAGTTTCAAATACTAAGTATCCTTTTCATGATAATTACCCTCGTTTTCTTTTTGGTTAAGTTCAGTTTAGGTAAGATCATAATGATATTAGTTTTACAAACTTCACAAATGAATTTAGAATTATATTGCTGCTATTGTAAATACAGATTGGTAAATCAATATGGGTTGTTCACTTACCATGTAACCTTACAGCCATGCATCCTGCCAAAAAAGTAGAATGCCCTAAAGAAGGTGGTTTACTAGTAACAAGAACAGCAGAAAATTGAAGAATAGCCTTTCCTGGTGTGCTTTAGAATCCGTTTTTGCCTGTTAGCCGGCTTTGAGTTACCCTTCGATCTTGTTACATTTCTTCCTGGAGATAAGTATTACAATCTTTTTTATTTCAATCTCCTTGATTTTTGGAGAGTTCCATAAGATCGAGGGAGGCACAGGCTTGTGTGTCCAATTGCAGTTTCAAGTAGGTAGCTGCATTATAGTATTAGGGAAAGTAGAAAAAAGAGTCACAAAGTCTGTAATAAACCCTTCAAAAAGGTTGTTTCTGCCTCGTTTTGTAAGCGTACATGACGATAATTTTCACAGAAACCAGACATCTATTAATGGTGAACCAAATATGCTAGCATCTGACAAATTAATATTTTATTATGGGTAGAGATTCGGGTGGTTAGATTTAGATTTTCTTTCATTGATGTAATTCTTGAGACTAATGTAAGATACTATTGTCTGCTACAGGTATCATAAAGAGTATGGCGAAGAATGGAATGCATTTTGAAGCTGGGGAGGTTGCTTCTATCTTTGGGCTTGAGGATAAATTCTCCCCTAAGACAATTTTGACTTCATTCTTGCAAGAGTCTACTAAAGCATTCGAGAGGGAAAAAGTAGTAGCACGTAAATCACCCGTGTTGCTGGTAACATATTTTTTAATCTCTTGTCACACAAATGATCTTACATGTTTTCCCATCCTTCAACGTTGTATTTATTGTGTTATGGCCTTTTGCAGAGAAGGGCTAATGAAAAGCTATTAGCTGCTCTGAAATCGATAGTCCGTTATTTGGAAAATCGTGGTAGTGATGCAATGGAGCTCTCATGTCTTGTCAAAGAGAAGATAGTGAAGTTGGAAGAAGAAATTGCTGCTGGGCTTGATAAAAGGATTGTGAAGAAAAAGGAGCTGAAGAGAAAACTGGATGAAATGGGATCATCAAGTACGATTAAGAGCCAAGAAATGAAGTGTTCACGGTTTGATACCAAAGGGTCCCCTTTGCCAAAATCTCATGTAAATCAGTTGCACGAGCAACCGACTGCTATTCTGGCCGAAGGCAATGGTTTGGTCCCTAATTCTTGTAATGCCAACAATGATCCTGTTGCCTCTTCTGCACTACATGGATCAACATGTTCTTTTCCTGGAAATGAGACAGTCCAGATGGGAGGAACCACTGGTGTTGAAAGCAGCGATATCGGTGTCATCCCAGCAAGTTCTATTCTGACCGAAGGCGATGATTTGGTCCCTAATTCTTGTAATGCCAACAATGATCTCGTTGCCTCTTCTACTCCACATGGATCAACTTGTTCTCTTCGAGGAAATGAGACGGGCCAGATGGAAGTAACCACTGGTGTTGAAAGCAGCGATATCGGTGTCATCCCAGCAAGTTCTTATTCTGGGGCTGATGGGGCAATTGAAGTTGGTAAGGCTGACCAAATGATGAGCGAAAATGGTCTGACATATGGTCGACATGGCTGCGGTGTGCAATCTGCATCCATGTGGTTTGTTGGTTTATTTGGGTCATCACTATCTTTAGAAGGCTTTGTTGGTCTGCCGGATAATTCTGTTAGGACATCGGCAGATCTATATCGGTTTGCTGATACTTTAGGGTAAAAAAACGATACTTTGTCAATTATGGCTTCAGTCCCCATCCCTGTGCATCATCACTAATACCTAAAACACGACTATGATACTAGATTATTCATGTTTTGAAATTTTCGAATCATTTCGGGTGTATTTATTTGGGTTTGCGAGTTGTTTCTCTCGAGTGATTATTTTTGAGTTCGAGTTTTTTTAATTGTTTTTACTCTTCTTACAAAGGAAAGTAGTTCATATAAGTATACAAACATAAGGAATTGCAGTAAAGAATACATCATCACTTCCTCAATTTCCCTCTCAGCAGCCTGCGCCTTTGCTTTTTCAAGTAGGGCATTAACTTTACCTGAAAATCAAGCTAATAAGCATATGGTGCTGACAAAATGTAAAAATTTTATAAATCCTATAAATAAATTTTAAAAAGTAAAAATTATTGTTTAAGATTCGATCACGACACTAAATAAATCCGTTAGTTGAATATTTTTAAAAAATATATTTATTGAAATATTCTTTTGGTTTAAAAATATTTTAAAAAATATATTTATTGAAATATTCTTTTGGTTTAAAAATATTTTTCTTAACAAAATGTACGTATCTTAAAAAAATCAAGTTATCATTAATTATTTTGGACTAAATATTTAGGAGGTCTGCGTTTAAAATCATAGTAAATATAAGTTAAATTCATGAGTCAATTATGTCATTACGGGTAGGGGAACATTAAAACACATCATGATTTTCAAAATTAATACTTATTAAATTATGTATTATCTCAATTTTTAAAAGTTATATATACAATTTTAAATTTTAGATATGATTCTTTGAATGAGTTTGAAAAGTCGCTAAAAAGGGTTGGGGATAATGTTGGGCCTAGGCCTGAATCTAAAGCCTCTTTTTGAGCAGAATATGAAAAGTCAAACATGCCCTCAAGGGTTAGTGATAAATACAAATTTAACCTTCTTCCGCCATATCATCCATCGAAGGAAAAAACATGATCAAAGGCAGAGGCCGCAGAATCTCAGCCTCACTGCTGTTTTCTTTCGTTCCGTTTAGTTCTATTCAAAACCTTAATTTAATAAATTTCATTCTCAGCTTTCAATAGAGGGAGAGGGAGATAATGGAGCAGCACGAAGAGCAAGAGCACGAGGTGTACGGAGGGGAGATTCCCGATGAGGAAGGAGAGATGGACGCCGGCGTGGGAATGTCTGGTGGAGCTGAAGATTACCGAGGCAATGACCATGATGTTCAACTTGATCCTAATTCCAACTCCAAGGTTGCCCTCTTCTTTATTCTAGCCTTTTCCCCTTAGCATTTTGTCTGATGAATTTATTTATATATAAGGATTTGGAGAACGTGAAAAAGAGACTTAAGGAGATTGAGGATGAGGCCGGAGCTTTACGCGAAATGCAAGCTAAAGTCGAGAAGGATATGGGCGCCGTCCAAGGTTTTTTATTATTATTTGTATTTGATCGGAGTTTTTTCGGCTAATTTTTGAACCATTTTGAGTTTTATTGTGGATTTAAATATTAAAATGGAAATAGTCTTGTTGATTTTGGAAAAGAAATTAAACTTACTTTATTACCGAATGAATATTCATTTATGAATTATGGAATGTTGCGACTCGTGTGTGAATTATTATTTCTGGTAAACTGATTTGGTTTTACTTTCTCCTCCTGCATGGCTATGAAGATTCAGCAGATACTTCTGCAACCCAAGCTGAAAAGGAGGAAGCTGATTCCCGCTCGATTTATGTTGGTAATGTGAGGTTTATCAACCCTTTCCAATGCCTTCTTTTAATATATATATGTGTGTGTGGCGTGTGTGTGTGAACCTTCTTTATATGTTTATTCGGATAAATCGTGATGTACATTATCTACAGTCAAATTCATATCTAGAAGATAAGAAGAGTTTTACTAGTTTGATCCTTGCAACCTAATTCTGATTTATGCTTGTGCATATTGAGCGACTTGATATGCCTTTTTATGTTATACTTCTTCGACTCTTCATTTTCTCGAAGTACTTGTATCTGAGCTGCCAACACATTGATATGGAGATATGACCTCCAAGGGTCCTTCAAATACATGGAAAACTTAGAAAAATATAAGCATACCCATGTCAGCCCCATATTCTTATCTGATAGTCGCATGCGAGTCTCGGTAACAAGGTTGTTATGTGCATCTTCATGGACAATACATGGCATGCTCCTTGTTATTTAAACAAGCTTGACCCATAATAACTTATTATGAGAAAATACACTCTTTATTATGTTGTTTTATGTTGTCTGGTTTCTTTAGGTAACTTCTAGATTCTTGAGGTGTACAATTAAAATGATCTCGATGTAATGTAGTGTAAATCAATGGAGCTAACCCTTTGTTTCTTTTTTTATCCTTGTAAAAACAGGTAGACTACACATGTACACCCGAGGAAGTTCAACAGCATTTCCAATCCTGTGGAACGGTTAACAGAGTGACAATTTTGACAGACAAGTTTGGTCAACCTAAAGGATTTGCCTATGTTGAATTTGTTGAAACTGATGCTGTTCAAAATGCCCTGCTTTTAAATGAATCGGAATTGCATGGTCGTCAATTGAAGGTTTATATACTTGATTTGTTTGTGGATTATTACTTCACTAATTTGATCTGCATGATGATAAAAAAAGCATGTTTGGCTTACTCACAGGTCTCTGCAAAACGAACAAATGTTCCTGGAATGAAACAGTACCGAGGAAGGCAACCCAACCCATACTTCCGCTCCCGAAGGCCTTTTATGCCTGGTCCTGTTTTCTATCCTCCGTATAGCTATGGGTAAGCTTGAAAACATGTTTTCTTTGTTTTGCATAGTAAAAAGGATAACGTGACATTCGGTGTCTCTGTGTGTTTTTGGGGCCGGTGTTTGTTTTTCTGTAATGCTATCTGTTTTATCCGCATTAGATGCATGGAAGTAAAAGAATCTTCCTGTGCTTGGGAATTATACCTATTATGATCTCTTCTATGCCTAAAGCGATTAAGCTTTTTTGCTATCTGCATTAGTTGCATGGTATCAACTACTTTATAATCTTTTATCTGATTTTGTTATCTGTTGAGACTTGAACGAATCGAACATGATTTTTTTCCACTTGATAACCTCGTTATCGAATGATTTTCAGGAGGGTTCCAAGGTTCAGGCGGCCAACGAGATACAGGCCATATTAGGATGGATCTCACGTTGTCAAAAGTAGCAGATTTTGGGAAGGCCATTACTAATGGATTACGAGGATTGTAACACGAATGAAGAAAGTCGAACTGAGTTTTGCTTGCCGAAGGCCGGCAGGCAGGCTTTTTTTTTTCCTTCTCAAATTGTGAGCTTGCAGGAGTGCGACAAGATCCATTCATTTGAACTTGCATATGTTTTGGTTCAATCGGGAGAAATGAGGCAAATATGCACTTGTTGCAGTGAAATATTTGATGATTTAATTTACTGGGTGTTGATGAGTTTATGTTGGGAATCTCTGTTGGGAGAGATGAGAACGAGATGTTACTTCCACACTCATCTACGTTAATAAATTTTAGAGAAAATCGTCTCAGTGACCAAAAAAAAGTTATAATATACGATTTTAACCAATTTTTTTTGGATTTGCCAAAATGACCAACAAAATCGCAACGCGAAATAAAAATCGCAACGCGATCCCCAGAATCGCAAATCAGTTTCCAAAATCGCAACGCGATTTTTGAAAATCGCAATGCGATAGTACAAATTCGCATTGCGATTTTCCAAAATCGCAACGCGAATATGAAAATCGCAACGCGAACACATAAATCGCAACGCGTATCCGTAAATCGCAACGTGTATCCGTATATCGCAACGCGTATCCGTAAATCGCAATGCGTATCCGTATATCGCAACGCGTATCCGTAAATCGCAACGATAATCCGTAAATCGCAACGAGAATCTGTAAATCGCAACGATAATCCGTAAATCGCAACGAGAATCTGTAAATCGCAACGATAATCCGTAAATCGCAACGAGAATCTGTAAATCACAACACTGAAATTTTGGGTATATAACACTGAAATCATAAACTAAATCCCTAAATCGCAACTCATTCCATCTCCATCTATCACTCTCTCCGGCGACATCCGTTCCTATATCCAACGACATCCTTCCCAATCCGGCAACAGGTTTTAGTTTCGCAGCTCGTCTGTTTAGTAAATTAATTTACAACCATGAAATCATCTAATGTTGATCATGTTTGGATAGATTTGTGTTTTGGAGGGTCATGGGATAATGTTCATGGTGTTTTACAATATATGCCTTTACCCATGAATCTTCAACTAAAATTGTCTTTACAAAAGTTAACTTATGAAACTCTAATGCTACGTGTTTCAAATAAATTGAATTTAGAGCCCCTAAGTGGATTTAGGCTATCTTATCAGAGAAATGGTAAAGTTTATTTGTTAACCGACAATGAAGATGTTGAACGATTCATTGCTTACATTAGTGTTTCACAAGATGATGTTACATTGTATGTTGTTGAACCTAGAAGTAGTATTGTTGGGTCAGTAGCGGGTAGTAATCAACTAAGTTTTTCTCAAAACCCACAACCTTTCTCTAATCCAAATCCCAATCAACTTTCAGCACCAAATTCCGGTTTTCGTATTGACCAGTTAGACGATGATGAGCCAACAGAAAAAATTGTGAGTACTAGTCAGTATTCGAAATTTGGTCTTGGTCAATATCCGGACTTTGATATTGGTCAATACACGGATTTTGATGATGTTTCAGAAGAAGAAACAGACCCTGCGTGTAATGATTTTGATATTGGTCAATACCCGAATTTTGATGATGAAACAGCCGTTGCCGAAGAATGTATTGTTGATGATAATGAGGAGGAAGTTACGACTGTGAATGAACATGTTGAACATCCATTCTGTAATTCATATAATCCTGAAGAAGAAAAAGAAGAAGAAGAAATCCCCGAAGAAAAGAAAATGCCACGGGCGTATAACTGGAATATGCCAGAATTACTTCAGATACCGGAAGAAGAGTTGGTAAAGAAAGCAGTTGATTGTTACACAAAAGTTATTCGTATCAAGAAAGATGATTGTTTTGATACAAAGGAAGACTTGAAGATAGCTTTGTATACGAAATGTGTGGAAGATGGCTATCAACTAAAAGTTAACAAATCAAGCAAAGATCGTTTCGAAACAAGGTGTATGATTGACAAAAACTGTATGTGGCGTATGATTGCAAAGAGAATAAAAGATTGCGAAATGTTTCAAGTTAGGACTTTTATTGATAAACATACATGTTCAAGAACCCAAGTTTTTCCTCACCATAGACAGGCAAACAAAAAGGTGTTGGGTGGTTTTCTGGCTGAGTTAATGTTTTTGAATGGCAGGGTATATCGGGGACATGAAATTATGACTGACATGAATGCTCGGTTCAAGATTAGTATATCATATTCTCAAGCTTGGAGAGCCAAATGTTATGCCTTGGAATTGTTGAGGGGTCGCCAGAAGCATCGTTTGCCCAACTGCCGGCTTATTGTCACAATTTAAAGCTGAAAAATCCTGGGTCGGTAACTCATATCAAAACAGATAGAGATGGACGCTTTGAGTTGCTGTTTATCGCCATTGGTGCTACGGTTAGTAAATCAATATAATTTTGTTGACTCATTTTTGTTAGTTACATGCATTTCACATTTAAATGATTATATTTCTTGTGTATATTATTTTGTAGATTCGTTCGTTTATTACTTGCATGCGCCCAGTTATTATAGTTGACGGAGCACATTTGAAAGGTCGATACCTTGGAGTAAACTTATTAGCAGTAGCCATGGATGCTAACAATGGGATATTGCCAATAGCTTACGGGGTTGGCAAATCTGAAACCTCTGATTCATGGACATGGTTTATGGGGCATCTTAGGGATTGCATAGGTCCTATTAGCAATCTGACAATCATATCCGATAGGGCAAACTCAATTGACAACGCTGTTAGAAGGTGTTTCCCAGATGCTTTTCATGGACTTTGTGGTGTTCATTTGTATAGAAATCTAAAATCAAGGTCTGCTGGTATAAAAAAGCACAAATGGACATACTGGAAGGCTGTAAAAGCTTATCGGGAAGTGGATTTCAATAAGCATATAAATTGTTTAAGACGTGTTTTGCCTCAGTGTGCTCAAACACTAGAAGATGTCGGGTTTGAAAGATGGTCAAGAGTACATCAACTTGGAGCAAGATATGGTTTCATGACGTCTAATAGTGCAGAATCAATCAACGCTCTAAGTCGTCATTCCCGGAAATTACCCATTACTATGTTAATGGAGTTTTTTCGAGCCTCTATTCAACAGTGGTACTACAAGAAAAGAAACCATGCAGGTATTATTTCTTTGAATTTGTAACTTATCATATTATATATTTTACTAAGTATTGTTTATTTAAATTTACAGGAACATTGGAACATCGTGTTACACCATGGACTGAAAAAAAGATAACGAAACGTGTTGTGAAGTCAACGTCATGGAGAGTTGAACCATGTTCAAACACTTTGTTTCAAGTACTGGATAATAACTTAAATGGGCTAGTCGATCTAAATGCAAAGACGTGTAGTTGTATGAAATGGCAAACATCTGGTTATCCGTGTGGCCATGTTATAAAAGTTGCTCTTCATTTAAACCAAGATGATTCAAGCGCATACGCTATGGATTGCTACACTACAGAAGTTTATCGACAGACTTATGCCGAGATTGTCTACCCTATTCCACATCCTTCTGAGTGGGACATACCAGATGACTTACAAACAGTTTTGCCACCAGCCATGGACAGAAGGCTACCTGGCCGACCAAAAAGTCACGATCGTATACCGTCTAAGGGTGAAGAGAAGAAGAGATCGACATGTAGTCGGAGCAAGGAAAGTGGTCATACAAGGTTGACATGTGGATCACCAGTGCCATCAAAATCATCTTTTCCTCTACCAAAATATGGATCCTCATCAAAATCCAAAGCTCATATGGTGTCAAGCAAAAGGCAATCATCTTTAAAATCCCAATCACAATTGGCTTCACCTTTTGGGACTGTTAACTTAGGTGATTTTTAAATGCAAACGTTGTATTATGTGGATTTTATGTGTGAACTTTTAACATTTTCAGTTGAATTAATGACTCAGGCCAACCATTTTGACTTAACCAACTCTTGTTATTCAGTTGTTATCACTATTAGGCATGCATTTGACTATCGCAACACGGAAATTACAATCGCAACGAGAGAATCGCAATGCGAAATGAAAATCCCAACATGAAAATCGCAATGCGGAAATGAAAATCGCAACGAGAGAATCGCAATGCGAAATGAAAATCGCAATGCGAAATGAAAATCGCAACGAGATAATCGCAATGCGAAATGAAAATCGCAATGCGAAATGAAAATCGCAACGAGAGAATCGCAATGCGAAATTAAAATCGCATTGCGATTCTCCCGTTGCGATTTTCATTTCCGCATTGCGATTTTCATTTCGCATTGCGATTCTCTCGTTGCGATTTCATTTCGCATTGCGATTTTCATTTCGCATTGCGATAGTCAATTTTGCCTTCAACATAATGCAGATTGAAATCAACAAAATCAACCATTACATTTCAATCAATTAAACAAGCACAAATAAGAATTATATTCGCATCAATTACACAAATCAAATTTTACAAATCATCTTTTACAAATCAATTAAACAATCAAAAAATAAGCAATAATTCTTATTTCCGATCATCTACTATTGAATCAACTTTTACAAATCAATTAAACAATCAAAAAACAATCAATTAAACTATTGAATCAACTTTTGCAGCCATACATCATTTTCACGCAGTTCACTTCTGAGATTAACCTGCAGAAACCAAACATTTGCTCAAACAACACTTTCTACACATCTAAAACCTACAAACAGCAAATTATTGAATTCTAGGTACTTAACCAAACATTTTCAAACCAAAAGTATATAAACTTACCAATTGTTTATGGACATTTTTATAACGCGGATGCAGGTAGGCAGCGTCTCGTATATATCGATTTAGCCATATAATGCCGAAACCACAAGCCTACTGCAGCTCTATCTCTATCGGTAGGAGGTAGATACTTGATGCTTCCCGTCGTCAAACGCTCCAACGCCAAGCATACGAGAGGACCACAATCTCCTCTGGCTCTGCTCGTTTGTTGTGGCGCGGTCTCGTCTCTAATAACTGTAATATTGAGCTTCTTTGGCTTCTTGTTTCCAGAACGAGTCCAATAATTGATCGCATCCAAGAATTTAGCCAAATGAGAGCTCCATCCCTTAATAACATCTCTTAAATCAGCCAATGATATGTAATTTATCATGCTGTCATACACTATTGTCTTAAGGGATGGGAGCTGAAGCTCGACGAGAATCCAATATTTACGTTCCAAAACAGGGATAAACACCTGCAATCATAAGTAATAATTCATTCATTTGCGCACTTATTTCATAAAACCTTTAA